TGGCCTTATTACTAGGAGCAAGAAACTACTAGGGGCTCCTGGCCTTAACTACTAGGAGCAAGAAACTACTTGGCCTTATTACTAGGAGCAAGAAGCCACCTTTAGACCTTGTTTTTTTTCTTCTTTGGAAGGGCCAGCGAACGATGTTTGGGCTCCTCCCTTTGGGGGGGGCCGGACTTGCACACGATCCTTCAGGCCGGACCGCACCTCGCAGGCATGGCCTCGGGGTGAACGGGGAGGGACGGACGTCGGTTGACATGCCTCGTGGCACACTCCCAACGAACGGAGCCAATGAAGTAAAAGTTTTATGATCATTATGTTGACCAGAAAGAGTGGTTCGGTTTAACATGTTTTTTTGTTAGCGGTTTTGACTGGATTGTTTTGTCAGCGTGTGAAACATCATGTTGGGCATACATTGTTGTCACGGTGAAGGAGCGGCCGCCGGCCGCAGCCGTTTCGGCTGAGCAGAGAGCTTTTGGGTTTTAAGCACAGCCAAGAGTCGTGAGCCAATGGATTCCCTCAGGAATCGCAGAACCGTGGGCGCACCTACACCCGTGGTCGAGGCCTGGTTGACCTGCACATCCCTTGACAATTGGCCATGGTTTGAGAGTCATCGATGTACGTCAGCGAGGGGGTAGATTGTGGTAGATTGAAATTAAGGGGCAAATCAAATCCAAAGTTGATGAATGGAACTCCATTGACCATATTTATGTAAATATAGGCTACCCTCCAAAGATCTACCATTTTCGCCTCTCGCATGGATGTCTAAGTCAATATTATAGATAGATCTACAAGCAGCAAAGAACATGCAGAGGGCTGAGACAATAGTTTGAACACATACAGGAGCAAAAGGCAAAGGTTGTTTGATGCAGAGAAAGGGAAGCAGAAGAAGACCTTTTTTTGTTGATTTTGTCCTTTAAGACTATGTCGAGGGAGACTTCAAAGAGCTTGGTATCAAACAAACACCTTTCACTGTCAGCCTTCAACATATAAATGTGACAGATTTTCCTGAGGATCTTATATGCAAGAGAACTTTCAAAGGGGAAAATGCAGAAGACATACCAAAGTTTTATGTGACAAAATCCTTAATATGAGAATATAAAACATTGTTTAGTGATGATAAAACAACAGTTGATTTAGTTGAAGGACTTGACAATGTATTATGACAACCTAGGCTGTATCAAAATCAGAGTCAGTAGAGCAAATAAAGCAGAATGGTAAAGGCATGCATGTATTGAATGACAATTTGACAGATGCAGCCAATGTAGATATCTATATAGCACTACTATACAAACACACCGAAACAGATGCTGACACAATTCAAGTGGCATTGAAGAAGGTCATTTCATAGATAATGTATGAATGCATTATACAATTGATTTTATGACGCTGCTCTGATGAGTAGGACAACTAGAAAAATGCTTTCAATAGGAAACTGTTAGTGAGAATTATGGGCAGAGATGAGTTGACTGAAAGGTGGTATCCATTAAGGAAATGGAACAGGTATTATATATTGAGTTTAATATGTCAATCCCAAAAGAAACCATCGGATTAATCGCATTAAGAGGTTTTTCAATGGTTAAACAGCAACAATATCTATGTCTATTCCTTAATTCACGACCTAAAGACATTGGAACAGAAGCAGGAAGTAAACAAACCCAGAGTAAAAGCACGTAAAAGCTCCCATTGATGATTACATCAATGAACGGGAAGAACACCCTAAATACAACATGGTTGATGACATGATGACATCCTTAACATTGAATTACCTACGGAGCTAAGGATTGTGGGGTCAGATTTTTTGATGGCAAGAGACAATGGCCTAACCTTTTTTGATTTGTCATACAGTGTTTATGAAGTAGGTATTAAATAGCTATTCGACTTCAACCTGGATTCAAGATTCAAGATGCCTAAAAAAATTGTTTTCCATCAATCTTGAATCTTGAGCCCATATTTGTTGTTCTATCTCTTGTCTAATTGTGTTCTTCTCACAGTCTGCCAAAACCAACACCCGAAACCAAAAACACCTAGTTTTTCTACTTTAATCTATTTTAATTACTTGTTTATCTCCAATCTATGCGTATATAATCCTGTTATATAACATATATGCTACACCCTGTACATTTGACACCACTGTATTAAAACACATGAAAAAAGGTAGGTCAGGACATGGACGTAGAGGAGTGAGGAGTTCTTGCTTTAAACAGTATTTATGAAGCAGGTAGATCTTTGGGGGGTACCAAAAACCGCACAAATAAATAAAAACAAATAAATACATATGTATGTATATATATATATTTATCTATTGTTTAATTTACTTTATATATATACATAAATATATAGCTCATGGGAAACCTCCTTCATCCACCAGACCAGATGGAAGGACCCGTAGCTGCCACAGGTCCGCAGGACCCCTTGGATGCCTTCTCGCCCGAGCGGAACTCAGAGGAGGAGCTCCGGGCAGGGGTGGTCCACTCTTCAGCGAAATCTCCAGCTTGGGTAGAATAGTGGGTGGGATGGTGAGGCTTGGAGAAATCCCAGCACACGCATGAAGTGGTGTTTCGTGGATCCCTGCCAGGAACGTCTGAAGAGAATTTTTGGTGCTGAGGGCATTCCTCCAGGGCCGCTTCCCTTCACGAAGATCAAGCGAACTGAGCTGGTCCTTCGGTTGCAAGTGAGGTGGGCCTCAAACCTTGGATTGGAGGTTTACTGTCGACCATTCCGAGGTTTTCCAGAGACCTTTCACATGTTGAGATGTCCTGAAATGTGTTTATGTCCCCGATTGGAGGTCAAGAAAACGGGAGCGCTTATGCTTTAAATGAAACATAGGTTGCAGTCAGACAATTACCACAGTAAAGTCGTTTGAGGCAGGAGGTTACCCCCTACATCCCCCTACTGATTTTAGTTATCGATGTGGCTTGACTAGTAATTTTTCTGTATGTTTCCTATCTTTTCCAATATTACCGTTTTTGCTTGTCTTCGTGGGGATTGTCTACCCACCCCTCTGTTGGGGTAGCCTTGGTAGAACACTGAAATGAAATCAAGGCTTAAGGTCTTTTAAACTCCATTCCCAGGGGTTGGCCCCTTTGCAAATCATGTCCTTGCGCCCATGCTGGGCTGGGCATATGGTCATGCCGAAGGTTAGTAAGTGTATGTGATAATATCAGGTGCCATGCAATGCTTAGCTGCGTCTTCATATTTTCCTGCAGAGAATGCCACAAAAACGAGAGTGCTGTACGCCGCGCGCCTATACTTGTTTTGGTGGATTTTGAGCTTTGGCTTTTGGTCTCTGGGTTCCGGTGTCGACAGTCCCGTGCGGTGGACCAACACATGACAAAGGCAGGACACATACGCAGCAGTTTTGGGCCACGGGCCCTGCTAGTAGATCCGAATCTATTTGACTGGCCCATGCCTGGCCTCTGTACTTGTAGGCCTATGCCTGTGATCCCTCCATCCTGTAGACATCAGAATTCTTGTTTTCTTCGGTACCTTTTGTTTGTAGTTTTTTGCTTCTATATACATGCCTTTTGCTTGTTTTCTTGGCATTGTCTACCCACCTCTCTGTTGGTGGAACACTGAAACGACATGGGTGCTTGTTGACCTAAGGTCTTTAAAATACATCCTCAGGGTTGGCCCCTCTAGATTTTCTCCGTTGTAGCCAGTTTCTTCCCTCCCTTTTGCTAGCACTCATTTGTTCATGTCAGGGCTATCCCAGCGGGTCCGGGTGGGTAGACAAGCCCAAGAATACTTTTTAACTTATGGTCTTAAACACGTTTCCCAGGGTTGGTCCTCTGACGAATTAAATTTTGAGGGGAAAGACATGAAAAAGTGAGAGAGAGAGGAGAGAGAGAGAGAGAGAGCAAGTGGCTAAAACATTCCCAGCAGGTCGGGGTCCCAGACCTTGTTATTTTTCCTGTTTTAACGATCTACGGAGCTGACATTCTTCTTGTTGCAGATGAATTCCAGACGTTGGCAGCCGGCCAAGATTGGCCAAAAAGGTCCTGGGTAGCCAACCCTCACAACCAGTGAACAGAGATTGTGTCTCACAATCCGTCGGAAAAGAATCATCCAACGCCCTGAGTCCTTGGGTGGTGCATGGAACTAAAGCAGGATTTCCCGCAAGACAAAGTGTTGGTGTCAAATCATATCGACAAGAAGCTTTTGATCTCTCTTGGTTAAAGAGATGAACTTTCCTTTTTCTTGGATCGAAAACATCCCGCTCTACACCTGGATGCGTCATCTTTGGTCCATGACATCATGACATCCATGATTCCGCTGAGGAATCCTTCCCGAAATGGGCCGCCGTGATGCTTCGCAACTGATCAAGCGAGGCATCTTGACGGAGGAGGTTGGGGGAAGCTTGTGGACAAAGAAGCACGACATCCGCCCATGTTCACTGGTATATTTTTGACTAAGAAGTGCCTTATCCTTTTCCGCTTTTGACCTGGGTTTGAACCCTTACAATGGTGTTTTGCCACTGGTGCCGTGAAAGACTCTTGACCCATATGACACATGAGCTCGGGTTCATGGCCTGAACAAAATTGGATGATCTTTGTACATGGTACTTGTAGTATCTTGGCTGTTTTTCACATGACCAGATTGTCTCCGTCCGATTGAAACGTAATCCGAGGTAAAGAGAGCAGCCTTACGATGGCGTGGCCTTAAAATGGGAGAACATCGGACGACCAGTTTTTCAGGGCTTTTGAGTCCTGACTGCACTGGTGGGTCGAGCGCATCTTTCTCGAGATCGTATCTGGCTGAATTTCACATACCCAATACCCACTTCAGCAGATGTATGTTGTATGGTGTTATATATATATAATGTTATATATATACACATAATATAATATATAAATTGGATTTAATAGTTTGCTTTTGGACACATTAACCAAGGGGAAGTGTGCAGACAAATCAAAGTTCGACAATTTCCATCAACCGCATTCCGCTTTCTCACCCTTAGCTAATACGGATTCACAGCAGAGGGTGAATCAGCTGACCAGAAGCTGAAAGAAAAGTGAGAGAAGTTGACATATTTATTTTTGAACATAGTTGGATGTCGTCTACGGACCATGGACCCGCAGGTATGATTTTGGACTATTTCCTATACAAGTCGTTCGAATTCATTCGATAAGCACGTGTGTGTTTCTATATCGAACACATGAACCCTCAGGAATCCAATTAGAGTGAGAGAGACCATTTTATAGAGAACCATTC